CAAAATATTTTGTCTATCCCCCCATTTATAAAAAATCTTTTTATAGATACTCTCTTCTTATATCTATTCCTTCATGTATGTACGTACGGACAAACGAATATCCCTACAATAAATTATATGCGTAATCTGTTTTATATACACACATATATGGCCGAGCATTAGACCCAGGTTCGAATCTCACTTTCTCAGGAAGGAGAGTTCCTGATATCGGACAGGATGGATCCCAGCGTGCTGCGAAACCAGCGTGCTGCGAAACCTGCGTGCCTGCAAAACAATACCACGGGTTGTGAGTGAAATCGTGTTGACGGAATCTTTTGGTGCTGTCGATACCTTTGCTAGCACAAGTCTCAAGTCATCGTGGCCTAGGGCTTGAGCGTGTTGCCCTTGTTCAAATTGTTGATCACGCTAGATAAAACGCTCAATCCCAGAAACCACAGATCCCACCGGCGTTGAATAAACAGAAATGCGCCTGAGCAAGCGTCAGCAAAAGTGATGGTCTAGCTGCCCTAGTAGACGGGAATCCTCGAAAACGAGTGGCCGCATAAACATACATACATACATACATACATATAAACACATCTATATATAATGTGTGCAGATATAAATATACATGTAAACATACTCAAACACGCATATATATTAGGTGGGGCAAAAGTAACGCCCTTTTTTATTTACTGACTTTTAAGATTAACAAAGTATTTAACATTTTCAAACTGCTCCTCTCCAATGCAACAACATCTCTACAAACCGGTTGACATGTTTGTACATTATTTTCAGAATCATTATCAGCCATTGCTTCTTTGTATTCAGGAATTGTTTTCAGCTTGAGCCTCTAAGCACATTATCTTTCAGTACACCTCACAAGGAAAGGCTGGCGCTGTGACGTCTACGCAATTGCTCCACGTAGTCCTATGTCTCTGTGCTCTAAAAAAAGAAAGCCGTTACATTTTCTGCACTAATAATTATATATATATATATATATATATATATATACACAATATGAGGAGGCGCGGTGGAGTAGTGAATGGCGGCTCGGTGTTCGAATTCCAATTGAAACCATTACCTTGGGAAAGGTATTAATCCTTTTCTTCTCCCCACATCCAGCTATGGGCAAATAGCAGGAAAGACTGGGTTCTATAGCCTTGGATGGCAACTCGTCTAGGAGAAGGAATACTCTGAATTCAAAACCTGTCGAGGGTTGTTTGGGGACTTTGTAGCACGTAGTGTATCAGGTCTCAGTATTCGCCCGTCAAAAAAGTGTGGTTGGTTCTGCACAAAGCCCTCACCACTCTGACCAAATCATATGTGTTCATGTCTGGCTGTCGGCTCCTAGAAACTGAACTGCTTGATCCTCATACGTGGAATACGACAGGTAGTCCACTATATATATATATATATATATATATATATATATATATATATATATATATATATATATATATGTGTGTGTGTGTGTGTCTGTGTGTGTGTGTGTGTGTGTGTGTGTGTGTGTGTGTGTGTGTGTGTGTGTGTGTGTGTGTGTTGCGCGTGCGTTCGCGGTCATGTGGAAAGGGGGTTTAGAGAATTTGATATTTACTGGAAATTATTGCTCGATCGATTGGCTGAGGTAAACATCGAGTATCCTGTCTAAGGAGAGGATAGAAAATAATGGCCACAACATGGGCTGGAAATGATATTGATATAACAATTATTGCTTAGAGCTACAAATGATAGAATGTTGCAGATAGCCATGATCTCCCCCCCCCCACCTGAAGATTCACGGCACATAGTAAAAGATGTAGAAGATCTGGGGCCAACCCATTTTCCAAAATTAGTTATCTGTTACCAAATATCAGAAACCTGTTTTGGCGAAGTGTTTCCAGCCTGAAGACTTTTTCAGTTCCCCAGCATGAATATATATATTTGCTCATATTTGCAACATTTATGTATTTGCGTGTGCATGTATACCATTAATTTCAGATGTTCACACACATATATATATATATATATATATATATATATATATATATATATATATATATATATATAGTAGTACTCGTTTGTAAAAACTCGGATAGCTCACCTTGCAGATATGCCAGGACAAATCAGTACCCGAGGAAAAAAATTGGAAATAAAAACGTAAATAACTAAAAACATCGGACGAAACAAACCGCCAAGTGCTTTGAGTCCTTTGTCCAAAGAAAAAAAACAAACAAGCAGAAAGCCAGTTTACCCTGAAGATCCGTTGAGGTAAAATAGGTAGGTTTGCCTGGCTCCTTAGTATTGACTTATTCTAGTGTATATATATATATATTCTAGTGTATATATATATATATATATATATATATATATATATATATATATATATATATATATATATATATATATATATTTAAGTATCTATGTGAACAGTATATCATCTTCCGGTATCCGTCTAACTACTTCCCAGCCATTTTTTCTCATTGAACTGCATCAACTTTTGTCACCTGATTAGTCAGGCTTATAAACATTTCATTTCAATAATATTACCACAATTCTTCTACTTCTTTATATTCTCGTTTTCAAACTGTTTTCTCGAGAATCACGTCTGATAAAATGTATTTTTTTTATTTCAACCGTCCCTATTTACTCAAACACAGACGTGTACATATTGTAGTAACTTAGACTAAAGGACATAATTTGTCATTTCAGTTGTCATATGCATTGTCTTCCCCAAATATTTACATGCGTAAATTCAGAATGAAGAGAGAAAATAAAATCTTTAGATTTAAATGAATTATAGACAATTCGTTCAGACGTAAATCACGGAGTCGATCAACTTTTTGTCATGGAAAGTGAAAAGCATAAAATAATCCATGTTTATGTAGATTTTCTCATTCATTCATAGATGCATACATAGGGATAGAGATTTAGATAAGTTTAAAAAAAAATCACAAGTTAATCAGTTTTTACTTATTCTACAACCAATGAAAATATGTTTGTAATTCAGGACGCCCTTCTGTGGAACTTGACGATTGACAAGAGATCTTAACTAAATGGGTTCACTTACTGAGCCCACTTTTCATTAAATATCTATATCAGCATATGAAGGTGATCATAGATAGATAGATAGATAGATAGATATGGCAGATTAGTTTTGACACATCGATGTTGGGATTGGCATAGAATAAAAGTGATCAGAATAGACAGACAACTATTGACACATCATATTTGATTGAGATAGACGCATCGAAAGATAAGAGTAAAAAATCGATAGGATCAAAATATAAGAAAAAGCTGAAAAGTGAGAGATGAAAGTAGAGATATATATATATATATATATATATATATATATATATATATATATATATATATATATATATATATATATATAGAGAGAGGAAAGATAGAAAGAGAACGAAAAGTAAAACAAAGATATCATTGAATAAAACGCGTTATGCATTAGATAATGTTTATACTCATAAGCGCTCTTGTTATTATAAAAGTAATAGATATGGAGCCAGAATATACCGTGTTCTTTGCAGACGCAGTGGATCTAAACATTGACAAAAGAACAGCTTTTATCAGTCATCCTACCTTTAAAAATCCTGTGGTGCCTCATGCATAAATGCATGAATTGACACAGCCAGGTGTGCACACCGCAAATCACATGACTTGCTACCTGTGAATACGGCATTTCTTTTTCCATATAACTTGCATCTTTAATTTGTTTATGCAATGTATTAACGTGTATTTTTTTAATATATTGCCAAATATCTTTGCATATTTTTCGAATTGAAAAAATCGGGTATTTTTTTCTCTCTTCTTAAAATAAAATATATAATTATACAAGGCGTCCTGTAATAGATCTTTCTTGCATCGGGACAGAAATAGACTTTGAATATACTTCTGATTATAAATGTTCTCTTTTAAATTGTCTGTGATTTATGTCTCCAAAATAATCTATCCGCATTGGAGAATGTCCAGATGAGGATATAAGGTAAGTAAATAGACTATAACGTGTTTAACAAATATACTACAATTCTGAAAGTCATTCCAAACATCTTCAAAAGTCCGTTGCTGCAAGCATCATGTTTCAAGTGCATCTCTATTGCTTATGAGTGTTTATAACAAGCAAAAGATTTAAAACAAACATATACATTGATCGATGTTAAAATCACACGGTCGATTTCCCTAAAATGCTAACACATTCTTAGGCCTTTCGAGTTCATGTTACTTGCACTAAGCATTTAGCTAAACCTGCTAGTGTCAAGATAAATTATCGTTAAATATAGAAATAAAGAAATGTTCCACAGCAGCTAGCAAGAACAATTCAAATTCGATTAAAATAAAAATGAGTTTTTGGATTTCTATTTCATGAAAATATCGACTGATGTAATGACTGCTATATTTAGAAATATAAGGAAAGAATAATTTACACAAAGAACCATCTTAACTGTTAAGTTGCGCACTGATTTTCCATGCCGTGCAAGAAAAGAGAAAACTTGTTGCACGCAGATTGTATTCCCTGAGAAAGGAAGGAGAAAAAAAGGTGGAAATGCTATCGTTATAACGGAATGACCACAGCGTCTTCAAACAAACGAAGATCGAATATAGAAGTTAAAAGGATTGCACAACACACCAAAGCAAAATCATAAGTGGGATGTGGGTGTAGATGTTTTATGATAGGTCTTATGCTTTGATTATAGACTTTCACTCAGACCTGGTGGGTAAGAAAAGAGAAAGATGATATTTATTATAGGTACTGTCATTATCATTTAGTCAATTGATAGGCATTTATACGGAAGTATTATTAACGGGTTGCGTATGGACTAGTGAAACCCGATTATGATATACATTTATAGTTAATTATTTTTCGTAAGTATACAAAATAAAATAACCATACAAAAATCAAATCAACATTACGAGGCACAGTATATATATATATATATATATATATATATATATATATATATATATATATATATATATATATATATATATATATAGCTGTGTGTGTGTGTAATAAAGAGAGATGAAGAAAGAAATTAACTCTAAGAAATAAATAATCTAATTTATTATAATATTCACAAAAACACATATATATTCTCTCTCTCTCTCTCTTTATATATATATATATATATATATATATATATATATATATATATATATATATATATATATATATATATATATATATATATATAAATATAAATGCATGTGTGCATATATACATACAAACACATATATATATATACGGGAGTGAGATTGGTAAAAAAACATAAAACATATATATATATTTATTTATTTTTCAAATACGTATGCGTTTATGTATATATATATATATATATATATATATATATATATATATATAGAGAGAGAGAGAGACATGTATGTACGTATATATATATATATATATATATATATATGTGTGTGTGTGTGTGTGTGTGTGTAGTGACTTATATATATCAAGCAGTAAAATATATAGGATATTCTATATTTTAGAGATAAATATCACACATTATATGCATTTATTTATATTTCAACAATGTACAAGGTTCAAATAATTATGTACACACTTACAGACAGTATCACTGTAATACACCATATACACATCTCATCGAAAGTACATTAACATTAAAAAGCAGATAAAAAATATTGTTGCTTAAACAATCAAAAGAGACTGAAATATATCTGAAATTACAGATGTAGAAAACTATGGTATGCACGTGCTGATAAATATCCTTGCGTGATAGTGTATTCATTGATAGGTATAGTGATGTATAGGTACAAAAGCACATAAACTCATATTTAAATCCTCACACACACTCACACGTATATATGCATGAATATATATATATATATATATATATATATATATATATATATATATATATATATATATATATATATATATATATATATTTAAGTATGCGTATGTGTTCATTTATATACACATATATGTGTGTGTGTGTGTGTGAATTTCGATGTGTTGATCATTTAAAGATGCTCTACCTAATCTGTCTGACTTACAGCTGATATACACAAGTCTGATGTCTATGCACGTAGAAGCTGTAATATGGCATGAAATTCATACTATAAGGCACCTTTTCAAAAAACACATTATTAGTCGGAGACAAGCAAGGCAGAGGTTCGAATTTGCATCGTTTTTCGGCAGATGAATAAATAACTGTTTTAATGTACAATCAAAGCTTGATTGTAGCTATACATACATACATATATATATATATATATATATATATATATATATTGGCAATTATACTACCTGTAACATCTTTCATGGGACAGAAATGTTTTAATTAAAACTTTATTTCTATGTCAAGAAAAAAATATCAATGGTTATAATATACATAAATACACAAAAAAATATACATATAAAGTTATAATATACATATATACATATTTCATATATATATATATATATATATATATATATATATATATATAATGTATATATGTATATTATAATCATTATATGCAATGCGTGTGTGTATTATCGTATAGCAAAAGACATTTTAATATGTATTGTGATATGCATATGTATATATATATATATATATATATATATATATATATATATATATATATATATATATATATATATATATATATATATATATATTTATATTAGTGTCAGTAATTAATACATTCATTGAGATGATTTTACAAATGATCAATTATATCTGCTTACAAAATACACATATACGAATATATATCTATATGCCTGCTTATATACTTCTGTCAATTTATAACTGAGTGTTGCATGTATCAAAATGTGCAATGTACATATGAGGGGGGTTGTGTCGGGTCGCATAGCTGAGTCTGTGGACGGGTCGGGTGTTTGGGGGTCTCCAACCTTGCCCAGGAGGAACAAAGAAGAATCCTACCTTGTTCGATTTGCGTATCCAAATATTCGTAAACGGCCGTTGTCTCCTGAAGTAATTGTGGCTGTAGTACATCCTGGACAACTGCGACGAGTAACGTAATCAATTTCGCCATTTCGAGCTATGCATCGCTTTCCGTCGCTTTTCTAATCATTTGGATTTATTTATTTACATGAAGCAGATTTATATAGGCCTACGCGGGCGTGTATATGCATGTGTGTGGATGTGCTTGTGTTTGTGTATATATATGTATAATATATATATATATATATATGTATATATATATATTTATCGATATATTTATATAGATATATTTATATATACACAATGATAGAGAGAAAGTGTGAGAAACAGGTTATTTATTTGACTATACTTTTTGTCGCGATGCGTGTTCGTCTATTAGAAATATGAAATGGATATGACACTTTCTATATATGTTAAGATGATTTATGTCTGTATTTAGGCTAATTTTTCTTTTTAATATCTAATTTGAATCTGTTTCCTCTCCGTCTGTCGCGTTGTTAATGAAATATGAACACATGCAAGCCTGAAGAATGTTGCCTATACGTTGTATATTGTTTTCGCTTTCGAAAACTATATTTTTCACGTTATGTATTATTCTAGTCTAAGTCTTTGTACTGAAATATTTACTCACCTATCTGCTAATCGATTTCTTGCATCTTTTCGCTCCTCCAGGTGAGATCATGGAAAAGAATTACCATATGTGTGTAGATATGTATGTGTTAATTACCTTATATGCCCCCTGGTTGATCACTGTATAGTAAAACGTTCACTTGGAACTATATAACTGGGTCATTTAATGCGTGTTGATTGAAATTTTATATATTCTAATATTTGTGCAAATTGACTTTAAAATCTAAATTCAAGTTATTACATTTAGGATATTTTAATAAAACTAAATGAAACGGTTCGTTTTTGTCTTCACGCGATTTTCGACGATTACGGCGGATTAACGTTGATTATTACTGATTAGAGTAATCACATTGTCTTCAATTAACTGAATTTATATTGATACGAATCTGCATAATCGAATATACATTGGTAGTTATTTAAATATAAATTTAGAGCACTATATCAACTTTGTATTTCGAGATGGTATCATTTATTAATATACTAAGATTTGCTTTGTCTATGAACCTGATGAACAAGTCACATATATTTTTTTATAAAGAAAATATTGGATAGCTTTTTATAGACTCTGTATGAATATAAAATTCTTTACAAAAAGCACGTCTTAATATGAATTTATATAACTAAATATACATAAGTTTTGTACTTGGATGAAAGTATTTACGAAAGTTTTCCAAATATTTAAAAAAAAATAATATCTATATAAGTAGGAGTTTGTATTCTCATCTGAATGTATGTATACAGGGATTATTTTCTACTTAAGTTTCCCTATGTAATTTATAGAATATAAACATAGATAATCATGAAAAAGTGAATATATTGACACGGAAAAAAATTGACTATTACTTTGTGTATACAGAATTAACTCTGTGTGTTGTGAGTAGTGATGATATGACAGGTGTGATTGTTGTTGGTTTTTATTCCTTTTTTTTCTTTTCTTTTGATTATCCCCAGAGATTAACTCATGCGGCTGAGTCTAAGCACAATTTAACTAGTTTCTTCTATGAATTTCCTTATAAGGGTCTGACTGTTTTGGCTTCGGCACTTACATTTCCATAATATACAATAACAAATAGGAAAAATCCTTAGTAAGAACGTAAGAAAAATAACAGTTCGATAAATATAAAAAGACTGAGTCCAAAATCAAATATTTTTATAGATAAATAAATTACTCAATGTGTGCTTAAAACCGTCAGTTTTGAGTATTTACAAAAATATTCATCCAGAATTATGTGCGTATATAGATATATGAAGGACTATATTCTATAATACATCCACTTGTTGTTTCTATGCAAATGTTTATAAACGTCTATACGTTAGTCTGAGTAGGTGTTGGTAGTGTACTGGTGGGTGTAAATAAAAGTATGTATATCTTTATATAATAGTGTATGCTACAATATATCTAAAAGTGGATATTCATATACTTGTGTGTATATATATATATTTAAGTAAAGGTATGTTTATGTATATAATTGTTTTGAGGTTTCTGTATAGGAAAGATGAAACGTATGTGTAGACCTATGTGTCAAGGTAAATATATATTTAAATATCTAAAAAATCGAGAACACGTATGTATATTTATATGTATATATACATACATACATATATAAAAACTTACATACACCTATATAGATAGATAGATAGATAGATAGATAGATAGATAGATAGATAGATATAGATATATAGATATGTAGATATATGTAGACTGATATCTGGAAGGATGTGTTTATGTATGTGTTGCTAGTGATGTATTTACGAGAATTCGCCGTCCAGGTGTGTACTTAACAAGCGAACGTAAGATGCAAGTCGGCAGGTAGTGCTTAGAATGTGTCGAACGGATTGTGAATCGCGATTCCGACACAGGACAGGTGTCTGGGTGTGGCCAGCCGACAACTGGGGAGACTGTTGAGGGGTCAGGATTTGGTGAGAATTTGGTCAGCTGGTAAGGTAAATATGTACTCCGTTAGAAGGTCGAGTCAGGAATTCGTATCTCGCTCCACAGTGTGACACTGAAACACACAGGCACTGCTCGATATAAGATCGCTGGGATTGGATGAAATGAACGGGGGAACGAAGGAGAGAGTAAGCTGGTTCGTTAAGGAGAGAGGGGGAAACAGGAGAGTGCGCAGGAATGTTGAGATATAGAGAGGGTGAGAGAGAAAGAAAGAAAGAGAGGAAGAGAATGAAATATAATGTGCAGGTGAGGAGAGGATGGTGTTTTATATCGGATGTTGGGGATGTTGAAAGGATGAGATCGGAAATCTATTATAATCGAAGTAAATAGATAGACAGATAAATAAGTAGATAGATAAATCGATAGATAGATACGATTATTGTGAGAAAGATACAGGCAAAGATAGATAGATAGATAGATAGATAGATAGATAGATAGATAGATAGATATGATTTGAGTGAGAGTGATATTTTTTCTACGAAAAAAATACGAAGCCTCAAATAAACATAGAGGCAGAAATAAAAGCGGCCATAATTTATCACAAAAAATAAATTTAAATAATTGCTATTTTTTTTCTCCTTTTAATAAATATCGCAAAGGCATGTAAAAAGCTTGTTTTGAGATAGAATAATGATATATTTTCTTAAAGATATGTCTAAAATAAATAAAAACGTGTTTATATGTATATATAAACAAATACACGCTGGTGTATTTAAAAAAAAAATACGAGATAGATATATTTGAACATGCGCACGGTCTTGGAAACCAGTGACGATAGACAAGTAAATAATATACAATATAAACGGTCTGGCGGGTTCAAGACCTCTGTAAACTGTAGTAACACACACACACACACACACACACATATATATATATATATATATATATATATATATATATATATATATATATATATATATATATATATATATATATATAAGTTAATTTAAGCATATGAAAAAGAGAAAAAATTAATCAGGTAGTAATGCATTGATATGAATTACATATACCTATATATATATATATATATATATATATATATATACACATATATATAGTTTATATATATAAATATATATATATATATATATATATATTTTTTATATATAATTACTTTATATATATATACATTATATATATATATATATATATATATATATATATATATATATACACATACATATATATATATATATATATATATATATATATATATATATATATATATATATATATATATATATATTATGGAGTTGAAGACAGACACAGTACGAGGGGAAGGAAGGGTGAGTTGTGCGAATCGTTGTTATTAATCTTAGGTAAAGTGACCCGTCTCCCGCGTAACAATGTAACGATGTTTTTGATGCTCTTGATTACTGCGTGAGACTTTGACGGCTCTATGACATCGATGACGGTGGCGACGATGCTGATTTCGGTAGAGAAACGGTGGCAGCGATCAACGTAGTGTAACAGTAGTGACGTCGACTAGTATCGACGCAGCAAATGTACGGAAGGCCAAAAGTGACAGAAATAAAATGTTACGATTGTTCTTTTTTTTTCATTTATTCCTATTTTTATGACAGAATGCACGCACGCGCTGGTTTTAATATAGAATTTCAGATGACTATTATGATCTGATCAGTTAATCGTTTATTTTGTTTTGTTTTTGTTTGATTTTTTCATGCTATTTTTTTAGCACTTCGTTATTTAAATTCGTCTTTTTGGAATATTGGTATTTTGCTTTAAATCTTCTAAAATTTTAAATTAAATTTTAATTTAGAAAAGGATATTGGGGTGGCGGGATAAATAAAATTGGAATTGTTATCTTATCTTCATGTTAGTAGTTTATACAAATAATATTGGAGATATTATTGTTAAAAATAATGTAAATAAACGATTGCGTAAACAGAGATAACTATTCCATCTATCAGTCTCTCTTTATATATATTTAGGCTATTTTTTAAAAATATGTAAACACGTTTGTGCGTAGGTATAAAAGAGAGACATCCCAAAATTTGAAAATAATTTTTGATCACCTGTGGAAGATTCCAAATATGTTTTGTTGACAAGGATGGCAAACAGCTGTAAACTTTTGTGAATACTATTGTCACTTCGTGTTTTCAGAATAGATTATACACACAAACACACACACACACACACACACATATATATATACATACCTACAAAAGTGTATATAAATGTGTATATATATACACATACTCACAAAAGTATATATATACATACATATATATACTCACAAAAATGTATATATATATACACATACATACAATCACAATATATATATACATACATCTCAAAAGTATATATATATATATATATAAACACGATATATATACATACATACACACAAAAGTATATATATATATATATATATATAAACACGATATATATATACATACCCCACAAAAAAGTATATATAAATAAACACGATATATATACATACATACACAAAAAGTATATATATATAAAACACGATATATATATACATACACACAAAAGTATATATATATAAAAACACGATATATATACATACATACACAAAAAAGTATATATATATAAAACACGATATATATACATACATACACACAAAATTATATATATATATATATATATATATATATATATATATATATATATATATATATATATATATACTGCTTGCTTAAAGGGTAAGACTGCTAGTCAACGAGGAATGTATATTCCTGTGTTGAAACTGTTTATATTTATTATATGTATATCCTGATATTGCTCACACTTCACTATGAATAAAGCAAATTAAACTTGTTTTTGTGTATTTGTGCGTGCGTATGTACATGTGTTGCAAGACGGATACATTTAGCTAAGTTGATGATAGATAGATAGATAGATAGATAGATAGATAGATAGATAGATAGATAGATAGATAATGAAATGTTTGAAATAGATAGATAGATAGATAGATAGATAGATAGATAGATAGATAGATAGATAGATAGATGAAATATGTATAAATTCAATAAAAGAGTGTTCATAAATTATTACAACATTTCTTGTATGCTCTGTGATATGGAATACTGGGATGTCATTTAGAATATTTAAACCACTAGAGGAAAGCCTCTCTAATATTCTATCTAGCTCCGCGTTCTTTCGTCTAAGTAGTTTGTTGTTTAAAAAGCTACAACCACCACTATTACGACAGCGATGCTGAAAATGAAAGTGCGATCACTTTTTGAAACCAGAAAAAATATATGAAATATATATATATATTGGCATGTGAACTTTATATACATGCTTACAATGTATGTACATTTTCCAAACTCTCTATTTATAACACGAAAGTAAAATATTGTGGAGCAGTAAGGCCACTGGAATCCCTTAATGTTCTTACGAACCATAACCTACAAATCATCACGCATATAGTTTAGATATTTTTTAAAAGGTAGAAAGCTTTTTACTGTTGTCTTCACTCGAAAAAGATTGTATTTTAATGTATATTTTCTTATCTAGAAACACATTATTTGCTTACAATATATAAACACATTATTTGCTTATGATACATTTGTGTGAGTTTATGTATGCATCTATACAATACACACATATATATATATATATATATATATATATATATATATAAATTATGGTATATTGTGGTAGCAACATTTCCTTTAAACATGTTTAGTTAAATATGGCAGACAAAAAAATTTAATTGTATTTTATTTAGTTTTTCGAGTGTTCTTCCGTTTGATGGGAGTAAGGGAGTACATAAATGTGCCTCCACTGTCCCAAGCGATTTTTGCCAATACTTTAGCCATTATCAAGGGGGTTTGTTTTAGGAGTTGTTAGATTTTTTTTCATGATTTGAATATTTAAAATGTATCTTATTTTTTGTTTTAAGAATACTTGTATGAGCTCTCTCCCTGTCTCTCTCTCTATTTATTTATATATATATATATATATATATATATATATATATATATATATATATATATATATATATATATATATATATGATCATTGAAATCAACAGTCAGAGGCGTAGGCTGGCGCCTCTTAGTGTTGACTTCAGTATTCACTTTTATATTTATATTTAAATACGCTCTATCTCTGATAAATATATCACGCCTTAAAACTATATTTCTTCACACACACACACATATATATATATATATATGTGGTTAGTTAAATTTGAAAGCGTTATGGTTAGATATGATAAACAAATATGCCCTTTTCAAATGAGACAATTTATCGACAAAGACAAACGCACACGAGCGCTCTACAGGTGTGTAGCTATATTCACACACAAACGTGCGCGCTCTCACACTTTCTCTCTCTCTCTCTCTCTCTCTCTCTCTCTCTCTCTCTCTCTCTCTATATATATATATATATATATATATATATATATATATATATATATATATATGTATATATATATATTATATATATATATATATATATATATATAGAGAGAGAGGGGGAGAGATTGTCGGTCTGGATTAAAAATCGGCACTGTATCGTGAGTTTCATTTTTACGACCGAAGATATCTTCAAACCATTACTTACAACTAGTTGCCCGGTCTACTTAAATAGGCCACTGGAGGCATATGTGAAATGGAGTTAACGAGAAATAATCCTACCAATTTCTTTTGTTTAAATCTATTTACTTACTTATTTGCAGACCTATTTTGTTTCATTTTAATTTATTTATTTACACTTGTAATTGTTTTATTATACTTGAACTCCTCATATAGTTTAATGTGTCAATGTTTCATGAAGAAATGATTTTCACTTCTTCCTCTCATTCATATCACATATCTCATTCACCATTAAAATTTTAACAGTTATCCACTAAGATGTGTCGACCCTTGCACTGTGTGAATTTTCGCATATAAAAGGAGCTGCCTATCTTTAAAATCAGCATGCAATATTTGACTGATATTTACTCACCGAACAACTGATTCTGTTGCAAATATTAAACTCTCTTTGCCATAAGAAAAACTCTGTTTTAAATCTTTCTCTGTAGCAAACCAATAAACACACATATACACACGCAAACAAACACACACACATACACACGCAAACAAACACACACACACTTCAAATCGCAGTATCACATGAACTAGAAGGTCCTCAGCGTCATGAGTTCATAAGTTTATTTCTGGAGGAAATATATGATGTCCGCCACATCTTTAAGCAGGTTTCGGCAGGTTAAACGTGGAATAGAGCGTAATATGAAGGCGGATGCTGCCTTGTGCCATAATTGTATGTTTGTACAATGAATATGTATATAAAGCGAATTAAACATTTTGTAGCCATATATAATTTTTTATCTGAAACCTATTGGCGAATTTTCATTGTATAATGTTAAATCTTTACGGATAATGAAATAGCCTAGTTAGGAGTTGTTTGAAATATTAATATATTTCTTTAAGTATAAACAATTTTTATTTTCGTCATTAGGTTACGCATTAAATGATATACATATACATAACATATATGAATATAAATACTCATACATCAATATAATTTCCACAGCCATGAATACGTCTAGAGACACCAACCTATAACGTCACACTGGGCTTCAAGGCATTGAGTATCATGCGGATCCCGGATCGTCATAATCATGCTTATTGCTAACGGAACAACGCAGCCTCCTCTGACGGTTTAACTGCGTAAGACGGACGCGTGTGTCAGACCACGACGTACGGACAGCCTTCCATTTTCGTACGTCCCCTAACTTTCCTCTCACTGAGAGAGGAAAATAAAACATGCCGGTGTGTCTAGACGGTATTATTTCAACTTACTGTTGGTTTGGTTTCAAGTTTCAGGTTTTTTGGTGTTATTTTGTTAAGTTAGGTCCAATTCCTTTGACGTAATTGGATAACGGCTCAGATCAAAAAGTCGGAGAGCCGAGTCTGAATTCCATTTACGCGCAACTACACTGTCACAGCCCCTAGAAGAGAGCGCATAAACTGTTATGATCAAGTGCCTGACTAATGTTAGTTTTGCGCAGACCCCCTTCTAGGATGACATGTGGTTTCGTGCTAGCAGAACCAAGGACAACTTCCGAACAGTTTCACTTACCCAGTTTAACTCACAAGCCGTAGGCCAAACCACGATATTGTTTTCAGGCAATTTTCGCATGTGCTGCGTACTGGGGTCGCCTTCACAGGCCGATAGCATCAAGAAGTCAAGAATGGTGAGATTCGAATCCGGCTTTCATCGTTAGGAAACAAAGGTTATAATCATAAAACACACACACAGGTGTGTGTATGTGTGTGTGTGTGTGTGTGTGTGTGTGTGTGTGTGTGTGTGTGTGTGAAATGTTCGAGAAAAACAGAACGTTCTATTTTATCATCAGAGATTTTTTTAAATTTATTTATTGGTGCTTTTTTTATTATTTTCTCTATTGTGCCATTCTACTACGCTTATAAAGTTAAGTACACGAGAGTGTATGGTTTAGCGCACCAAAGACACCATGAGGACCCATCCCAATATTGCCTCTCAGACATGCATGTTCTTACGGACGAATTCTTACCGGCAATAGTACAGACTGATTCCTTTTCTTTTTTTGCTTTTTTAGTCAATAAAAGTTGTACCGAAAAAGCTGTAACGAAGCAGTACTTGTATAAAAGAACAAAGAAAATTGGTTCGATGCTACTGTTGCTGAAGATGGTGGCGATGTTGATGGTGGAGCTACGCTGATGTTGATAGCAGCGTCAGTTGGAACGAAAAGGCACATATGCATGCAACATTGTATGAACAGAGGTCAGGAAATGTTAATCATAGCAACAGTGTCACTGAAAGTGGCGGGAATGTAGAATTTTTGTTCTTGCTCGCATCTTTCTACTTAACTTTTTAAAGTTTCTAATCAGTTAATTTCCGCTTTGTGTCCGTGTTACTTTCGTTATTGTCGCCTTTGTTTCGTTCAATTTGCCGTTATTTATTTGAAATAAAATAAAATAAAATGAATTAAGACAACATTTCACCTAAAGCAAAGATGTGCAAAGCGAATGAAAGAAACAAGTCTTTTAAAAAGATTTAATAAATGCTGTAACGAAAAGAAATGAGATTTACACGTAGGTCGAAATATGAATAAGAAATGAAACTGTGTAAAATTATATATCGATACTCTTGAGAGATAATGGCTTGGATATAGAAAGAATGAAAAATGAAGAAAGGAAGGCGGGAATCATATTTTTATATAATAAAATAAGAAAGAAAACAGAAAACCAAATGTATACCACATGTATAGAAACAATGAAAATAAGAATCTCTTCATTTATGTGCCGTGTCCCTTCAGGACGTAGGCGAACATGGCGCTAGCTGTTAGTCATCCATTTGCTGAAGCTCATCAAGTAAGTTACGCGATGCTTACCTCTGTCCCTCTTTCTTTCAATCTCTGTCATAAGTATCAGATTTTACAAGCCCATATTCTTCCTTACCCGCCACGGAAATTTCATCTTCTTTGGTTTCCAATCTCTTCGAAACCTCACAGATTCGTTCAATGGTATCCCCAGCATATTTCTGTAGAACCAAATGTCTGTTGCTTCAAGTCTCTTCTTCATCTTTCGCCGCCAGATAGGAAGACAGGTGCATCTATGGACATCCCAATACGACTTCGTATCTCAGTGTTATTAGTAAAGTGCTAATTTCGATTTCCCTTGAAATGGCTTACGAAACTTACTCGCTAGACATCACGAGAAATTATATATATATATATATATATATATATATATATATATATATATATATATATATATGTATGTATATATGTATATATATAATACAGTTTACTCAATACAAGGCTCAGTATCACTCAAAAGAAAAGGTTACTGTTAAAATTGTCAATTATTTGCTGTCATATACGAAGACAGATATCAGGTAACAGTTCATTTCTCTTGTCTTCGTTTCTGACGAACTTTTCCTTTCTCTTAATACACGGCTTAGCGTTTGTAATGCATCTTTAGTAATCCCAATACGTTTACAGATGTCAGCAATTTCCGTTCTCTGTTAGATCACTTCTCAGATATTT